TATATATATATATATATATATATATATATAAACTAGCCCAAACAAAGAGAAGAAAAGTAAAAACTTAACTCACGTAAAGTGTATTAAAGATGAAAATCAAAAAGTGATTTTATTAGAAGAAGACATTCAACATAGATGGGTGAGTTATTTTGATAAACTTTTTAATGAAGTTTTTGAAAATACGATCGATCTTTTAGGCGGGTGAGCTATTTTGATAAATTTTTGAATGAAATTTTTGAAAATATGATCGATGACAGTGATTTTATTATTGTTAATAATAATAAAACATTTATTTTTTACCACTGTATTAGTAAAAAAGAAGTTGGTGAGACTTTAAAGAAAGCCAAGGGTGGAAAGTCTGTATTATTGTTAATAATAATAAAACATTTATTTTTAACCACTGTATTAGTAAAAAAGAAGTTGGTGAGGCTTTAAAGAAAGCCAAGGGTGGAAAGTCTGTAGGATCTAATGATATCCCAATTGAAGTATGGAAATATTTAAGAGATTTAGGAGTTTCTTGGCTTACTAAACTCTTTAATATTATTTTAAAAACTAAAAAGATGCCTGAGGTGTGGAGGAAGAGTATTTTGGTCCCCTTTTTTAAGAATAAAGAGAATGCACAAGAGTGCAAATTATAGTGGAATTAAGTTGACGTGTCATGCTTTAAAATTATGGGAGAGGGTAATTGAACATTGGTTAAGACGTATTACAAAGATTTCTCATAATCAATTTGGATTAATCAATTTGGATTTATGCTGGACAAGTCGACTATGGAAGCTATAGATTTATTGAGAGGTTTGATGAAAAAGGTTAGAGATAATAAGGATAAACGGATAATCTACATTTGATTTTTATTGATTTAGAAAAGGCTTATGATAACTTTCCAAGAGATTTCCTTTGGAGAGTTCTTGAGAATAAATATGTTGCTATGACTTTTATTCAAGTCATTCAAGATATGTATACTAGAGTTGTTACTTGTGTTCAAACTGAAGGAGGTTGGACCAAATATTTTCTTATTTCTGTTGGATTACATCAGGAATCGACTTTAAGCCCATATCGTTTTTTTTTAGTTATGGACGATCTTACTAGACATTTACAGGAGGATGTACCTAGGTGTATGCTTTTTGCTGATGATATCCTTCTCGTGGATAAAACGAGACAAAAAGCCCAGGAAAAACTTGAAGTATGGAGGAAAAACTTGAAGTATGGAGGTCTACATTGGAGTTTAAAGGCCTTCATTTGAGTAAAACTAAATCTAAATACATGAAATGTAATTTTAGTAGTTGTAGCTGTAGTGACGGAAGTGTAACTTTGGGTGATCAAATTATTAAAAGGTGTGAATGATTTAAATATATTGGGTCTGTTGTTCAAAGCGATGGTGATATAGATGTGGATGTTAATAGTAGAATTCAAGTTGGTTGGTTGAAGTGGAGGAATGCTTCGGGTCTTTTCTGTGATAGAAAAGTACCGCTTAGACCGAAAGGAAAATTTTATAAGATAGAGTGGTGAAACTTGCGGTGAAACTTGCAATCCTCTATGGTGTTGAATGTTGGCCTTTAAAAGAGAAGCATAATACTAAGTTAAGTGTTGTCGAGATGAGAATATTAGGTGGATGAGTGGTTTTACGCTTAGATACAAAATGCGAAATGAATATATTCGTGACAAGGTTGGTGTGGCTCCTGTGACAGACAAAATTAGAGAAAGTCCATCTTGGATGGTTTGGTCACATTAAGCGTTGACCATCTGATGATCCGATTAGGAGAGTCGATGTTCTAGATTCGACTTATGTTAAGAAAGGCAGAGGTAGATCTAGCAAGACTTGGGTTTATTGTATTAAAAATGATTTTAATTTATTAGAACTAAATGAAAATATGACACTAAATAGGACGCAATGGAGAAAAATGATTCATGTAGCGGACGCCACTATCCACATAGTGGGATTAATGATTTGTTGTTGTAGCTCTGTTCATGCCAGTTACACATGCTTGCACAAAATTGTCTATGATTGGTAAAATTGCAATTCATGCGTATTCTTCTGAGGAGATTTAAGATGTAGAAACTAATTTGTATTTACTACTTGACACCACAAATATTGATTTTGATAATGAATCTGTACAAACATTCGACAATATTTTTAAACTTTCATTTGATTAGGAGTATGAATTTTAGTTAAAAAGCACATTAACAATGTTATCTTACGTAAATGTGAAATTATAATATCGATTGAAATTTACTTGCTATGATTATAAATAATTTTTTTTTTTTTTATGGTTGATGAATCAATTGGACAATTTGAAAATAAAACTATTGATTATTTTTTGTTGAAAATATTCTTATGATAAACAATCAAATTGATTTTTTTTTGGCTCTTGTTTTCTTGACATGCCCATTCCTTTGGAGTGAGTTCACTTGCTTCAATTATTGCAAGGAGATCAAGTTTCAAGCCATTCAGGTTAAAAAGGTTCTCCGTCGATGTAGGTATATCATATTTGTGTTGTTTTTTTTTCCCTCTAATATTTAGTTCTTTGTCACACCCCTCAACAACCCCCTTAAATCAATGTGGGATGTAACTGAGGCGTGTCCAATCTTGTTGTTTAAATCCAACTCCAACAACCATTTTTAAGTACACTATAAACTCCAATTTGTTGCCATCAGAGCCGCCTCTGCTTGCCACTGCCTGCCATCTCTGATCATCACTGTCACCATCAGCTGACTTGTTTTACATTGATTTATTTTCATGAAACCCAAAAAAAAAAAAGGATAAACTCCTGCATTAATTTTATACCAAATCAAACAACTTCGAAGTATTTCAGATACATGACATTTCAATTACACTGCATTCACTTTTCGGCAAACCAAACAACCTCTTACTAAATTACAAATCGGCTAGTGTTGTGCACCATGTTGTTGTTTTTGTTTTATTGGTTATTTTTATATTATTATTATTTTATATTTATTTAGTTATATATATATATATATATTTTTTTTTTCATGCTTGAAACTTTTGAAATAAACTGTTTTCTTTTTTTTTCATGCTTGAAACTTTTGAAATAAACTTAGTGATTGTGCTGGTTACCATCAGCAAAAGTTCTTTTAGGTCCATCCATTTAATTGAGAAAAATTTCCTTCATTTATTTATCTATTTTTTCAACTTCACATTTGTTTGCATGTATATTAATCTCTTATTAATCTTGTATTCTCTTTTTTAGCATTTATCTTTATTTGTGTGGAGTATTCTGTTAACTTTTTACTTTAATTAACATATAATCTGCATTAATTGGATGTTTTTTTGCTTAAAGAATGCTTTTGCTAAGAAGCAGGAATCAATAATGAAGCTGGAGCAAGAACTTACTAGTTGTAAGGAGGAATTATCTGAAAGGGAGAAAAAGCTTGATGATGCACAAAATGAAAAGGTACTTGTTATTGCTGATTCAAAATTTAAGTTTTGTTGTTATATAACTGTATTCCGTTCTAATGTTATGATTTATTGCTGTATTCAGGCAAACTTAAAACAGGAATTTGATAAACAGAAAAGGCATTTACTTGGTTGGAAGGTCTTTTGTGTAACCCTGGCTTTGATATTCTTTTTACTGTAGTGTTTTTCTTTCTGCCGGCAATCTCTTCATTATTGCATTTGGTTTGATTCTCAGAGCAAAAATCAATCAATTGCTAAGGAGAAGGAGGAATTGAACTCCAAGTACCAACAATTGTCAGAGGAGATTGAGGATCTGAAAATCATGAACCAAGCAATAAGAAAGGACAACGATGAACTAAACTCTAGAAACCAAGTATTGACAAAGGAGAAGGAGGATGTCAGCACTAAAACCCAAGCCTCAGCAAAAGAGAAGGAAGAATTCATGTCTAAAATTCAAGCATTATTGAAGGAGAAAGAAGAACTTAACTCCAAAAATCAAGCAATTCTGAAGCAAATTGAAGATTTAAAATCAGGTAATTTATGAATATACATCAATTATACCGTTGTTTTCTTACATTATTATGGTTTCACAGGCAGAAAACTTTTTGGTGAGAGTGAGCAAGTCAAGAAAGAACAAGACACCAGGTTACAGGTTAGCTTCATTTTTTTGAATACTTGGTTGCCCTTTGGGAACATAGCTGTTCTTGTGGAATATTTTGTTACTTCAAGCTTTGTTGTGATGTTCAATGCATCTAAGCTTATGCATATAATCTTTAGGATCACATTTCTTAAATTAGAACATTAAATTTCATGTTTTCTTTTTCCTTATTTTCTTGGAAAAAATATTAACCTATCATATTCTCCTGAATGATATCGCCTTTTTTTTTCTTTATTACCATTGGTAGAAATATTCTTCTTTCTTTCTTCTTGTTGCATTTCCTAAAAAATTGTTTTGAATGCATTATAATCTTTTTTTTCTTCGGTTTATCTGAACAGTTTTTTGCAAATAAAACTAAAGAAAGATGGAAAAACATAGCTTATGGGGATCTACATTGGAGTCTAAAAGCCTTCGTTTGAGTAGAACTAAAAACTAAATACATGGAATATAATTTTAGTAGTTTTAGCTCTAGTGGCGGAGTTATAAGTATGTGATAAGATCATTAAAAGGTGTGAACATTTTAGATATCTTGGGCTTATGTTTAAAGTGATGGTGATATAGATGGGGATGTTATTAGTAGAATTCAAGTTGGTTGGTTGAAGTGAAGGAATGCATCAGGCCTATTGTGTGATAGAAAAGTACCACCTAGATTGAAAGGAAAATTTCATAAGATGTTAGTGAGACCTTCAATGGTCTATGGCAAAAAATGCTGGCCTTTAAAATAGAAGCATAAAATAAAATTAAGTGTTGCTGAGATAAGAATACTTAGGTGGATGAGTGTGATATTGGAGGGTAACCCAAACCACAACGGAAACACAAATATTATTTCTGAGTTCCAAACATATTACAAACAAGATACGGGAAAAATAGGAAATAGACAACAAACAAACATGAAAACACAAACAATAAAAAATATCCGTGGGGGACGACGAGGACGGCGGCTGCTGAACGGCTGTTGGTGGCTAAATATAGAGAGTTGCAGCTGTAGGGAGGTGGCAGGAAAGATGGGCAGCCGCTGGAACAACAATACAACTCGAGGCGCAGTCCAAACAGTAGCAGGTTGCTGTTTAGGGCTGCTGGAAAGCAGAAAAATTGCAAAGTGAAGGCGTTGCGTGCTGCGACAATGAAGGTGGAGGGCTGAGACAGTGAGGGCAGCATGGAAGAGGGGGAATAAGGCGATAGGGGGCGGCTGGAACTGCAGATAACAATAGATCCTTGTTGTTATGGGCGGTGGCAGCAAGGGTGGATGCTTCAAATTGTTGGAATACAACGATCCCTTGTTCTGGTCAACGGAAGCAAGATAAGGCGATGAGAAGCGATGCGGGAAGCACAGGGAAGGGTAGAGGAAGGATAATCACCACCTTAGGAGAGAGATATAGCCGGAGCTCCACCCAATCTCTCAGATACAACCCTCGAAAGGAAAAACTCTAGAATAAACTTGAATCCGATATCAAAACAACACCCCTCACTTTAAGCACATCATCTCCTATATATAAAGTTGCTAGATTTATTTTAGGTAATGAAAATAAGAATGGAGAATAAACTATAATCAGGTTTTCTGATTTTAGGAAAGTATTTAAAATAAAAAAAGGGGAATAAAATATAATCAGGATTTTATATTTTTGGAAACGATTTAAAATAAGAAAAAACTAATAAAATATAATCAGAATTTTAGATTTTAGGAAAGTGCTAGGAAAGGAAGTGGATGGTTTGGTCACATTAAACACCGACCATCTGATAATCCACTTAGGAGAGTACATGTTTTATATTTGACTTATATTAAGAAAAGCAGAGATTGACCTAAAAAGACTTGGGCATATTGTATAAAAATGACCTTATGTTATTAGTATTAAATGAAAATATGACACTCAATAGGAAACAATGGAGAAAAAGGATTCATGTAGCCGACCCCATTTAGTAGGAATAAAAGTTTGTTGTTATTGTTTTATTGTTGTTGTTATTGTTATATTTGAACAGTTTTTTGTGTTTTGATTAATATATACGCTTTTTATTTTGGTACACAGAGGAAGTCCTGAATAATATAAGAATGAGAAACGTTCATTCCATTTGATTGATATTTGGGTACTCTTTTCTTTGCCAAGCATGCATTGCAATATTTTTTTTATTATTATTTAAAGATAATTTTTAGTGGGTACGGATCCTTCATCGTTTCATTCAATGCAATTTTTTTACATAAACTTAGTAGGATGTTAAGATTATCTTAATCTTGATGTTACGTTGGTTTTGTTCAGTTATACTGTTAATACTCGTCAATTCAACTACATTCTCCAGTTCATATGGATAGTGCATCTAGTTTATTTTATCTTATTTTTCTTTTTGCGCTTTTTTGATATTTTAGTTTACTATTGTTTGCTAAATAATTATAGATTAAAGGAATAATTCTTGTTTCTTATGCCTGATTTTGCTTGGCGATGAATGCCCTTTTTTTTCTTCAGAACATTTAATGATATTGTATTGTGCGGTAGTAACTTACAAATGCTTATTTGCTCCTGAAACCAGACGTTGGAGAAAACTTTGGAGCGAGTGAGGGATGATTTTCGGAATGAGAAACAAACAAGGAAAAAGAGTGAGACTGCAATGGTTGAAATTTCCAACAAAATTAACATGGTATTGCTCCATTATTTTATTTGTTTTCTAACGGATTACCTTCAGTTGTGGTTGGCCACTAAAATTGTACGCTCTTTTTTAAATACCTTATGTGTGCCCTCCGAGCCCCTTGTGAAATATACTTATGAAATGACCTTGGGTCTATTTCTCACTCTTGAGGACTTTGATGTTATATAGTCAAATAATAACCAACTGCATTTCTTATTACATCATGAGGGCTACTCTTACTGGATGTTATTATAACACGAGTTTTGCAACGCTACCTACTTGTGCTTCCCAGTAGATGAAATTGTCAAAATGACAACCTTTGGTCTTTAGATAGGCTGAAATTCACATTAGACTCCCTGATTGGAAGTTTACAAAGTCACTTTAATTACTTCATAGCTTTTTACTATTTAACATTTGGTTAGCTTTGATGAAATTATTGTTTGCTGCGCAATAATGTAACCTAATATACTACACTGCAAAATAATCTAACTAAAAACTATGGGTAAATTATAAGCGGACGCTTAACATTGGTTCATAATTTTAAAAGCAAACCATTTTATCTTCTATTTATTAAACTAGAAGAAAGCAGTTAGTGATGTGGAATCACTGGGTTGGAGTTGATGACAACTTCAAAGATCACCTGTTGTCAATAGCTAGTAGTAGATAAGGAGGGTTGATTCAATTTGTTTGATATGCTCAGCACCATAATATTACAAAAGCAAGTTTTAATATATTATTAACCCAATCGTTGGAGGAATGCATCGAGCCTATTGTATGATAGAAATGTACTGTTCAGACTTGAAGGAAATTTTATAAGATGGTGGTGAGATTTGTAATGATGTTTTAGATTCGACTTGTGTTAAGAAAGGCAGAGGTAGACCTAGGAAGACTTGGGCTTATTGTATAAAAAATGATCTTAATTTACTAGATCTAAATGAAAATATGACACTAAATAGGATGCAATGGAGAAAAAGAATTCATGTAGCTGACCCCACGTAGTGGGATTAAGGCTTTGTTGTTGTTGTTGTGGTGAGATCTGTAATACTTTTATGGCACATAATGTTGGCCTGTAAAAAAGAAGCATAAAATTAAGTTAAATGTTGCGGAGATGAGAATGCTCAGGTAGATGAGTGGTTTTACACTTGGAGACAATATGCAATGTGAATGGGTCTGAGTAGCTCTAGTGACACACAAGACTAGAGAGTCACGTTAGATGGTTTGTTCACATTAAACTTCGACGATCTATTGACCCGATTAGGAGAGTAGCTGTTTTAGATTTGACTTATGTTAAAGAAAAATAGAGGTAAACGTAAAAGGACTTGGGCATGTTGTATAAAAATGATATTAATTTAACGTAAATATGACACTCAATAGAACATAATGGAAAAAAAAAATTCATGCAGCAGACCTCACTTTGTAGAATAAAGGCTTGTTGTGTCATCGTTAATTAAATTTATACATTTCATGAAAAATAATTCATAAAAAAGTTTATTTTTTTCTACCAATAAATTTTTTGACTCGAGACTCCATTAAAAAAAAAAAACATTATTGATGATGTTGATCTGTTCAATAAGAAATAGGCTTCAGTTAAATTTCATAGGATTCTATGATTATTTAGCTACATGTTAAACAAAGAAAAGTGGTTAGATATAATTATGACACTAGATTTATTTTTCATTATTTTTTTGGGAAAACAAAGCGTGATGTTTTCTTCTAAATGAAAGATTAGTCATTTAAAATTTCTCAGTTCGAGTACTAATATATAATATTGAAAAATTTTAATCATTATATTAGTGCCCATTAAAGGAAGGTGATTATTATGGTATACTACAAGAAAGTTATGGATTATATTATGATATCACTAGAAAGTTACTTTTTTTATTGATATTCCATCCTTGTATAACAACGTATTATTCTAACACTTACTAATATATGAATAAAATGAAAAAATAAAATCATTGTTGATCTAGATTTGTTCAATAAGAAATAATTATCAATTAAATTTCGTAGGCTTGACAATGGAAAAAGAACATTATCATTGATCTGTTGAATAAGAAATAATCTTTAGTTAAATTTAGTAGGGTTCTGTGATGATTTAGTTGCACCTTAAGCAAAGAAAATCGTTGATCACGTCTTGTTGGTTTTGGTTATCTGTGAAAGCTATTGCAAAATTATTGTATGGAAAGTATATATATATATATATATATATAGAGAGAGAGAGAGAGAGAGAGAGAGAGAGAGAGAGAGAGAGCTGCTTTTAAAAGGTTTGATGACTAATTTGGGACAGCTTTCGCACTTTTGTAGAGTTGGTTATGAAAAATTATTTCTCGCCACATAAAATTCTGAAACAACTACAACAAAGTAGTTATGTATAAAGCAAGCTATGTATGAAGCAAGCTATGTATATGAAATTTATCCCAAAAAACCATCCTATGTCTTCCACTTTGCCTTCAACTTTCCTTGCTAAATCTCCCAGCGTTTGCTACCTTATACTAACTCGTGCTTGAACCTACAAACACGTCTCCTCGCTTCTGCTTTCTAGAACATCAAAATTTGTCAGCAATTCAATAAACTTTCATGTTGTTAACTCTCCCATGTGCTTGTATCCCCTCCACTCACATTCTCAAACTCAAGTCTTACACATCTCGTGCATTTTTCTCCCATTCTCTATTGTAGATAACATCTTTGGAGAGAAATGATTCTTTTGATTCTTATTATTCACATCTATGGTACATATATATAGGGAAAACAATCCTTGCTAATTTACAAAATCACCAATTATGCTTAACCTAAATTAGGAAAAAATAATTCTGAAAAAAAAAATAATAAAAGAACATAGAATAGGAAGGAACTAAGATGTCCCATTCAAATCTTCCAGGATCTTCTCAAATTTTCTTCAGACTCTTCTCAGATTTCCACACACTCTCTCAAGTTGGTTCGTAGATGTTGTAGATACCAAGCTTGGTATTGAACTTGGAGAGGTGCTTACAGGGAAGAGTTTTGGTGAAGATATCAACAACTTGGTGGTGTTTCGGTATTTAGCTTTGCTATATAATTTCCTGTTAAACTTTTTAGAGACGAAATGTTTAACAATTTCAATATGCTTGTTCTTGTCATGATGCATATGGTGCTTGACAATAGTGATATTTGATTAGCTTTCCCAAAATATTTGTATAGGCTTATTGGAGGTACATCCAAATTCCCTTAACAAAGTTTGAATCCAAATTCTCTCGTATTTAGGAGCAGTAACTTGTGGTGGAACTTCTATCAGCAAGTTTCCTAGCTCAACTAGCATCACTGTAGACTGCCACATCTTTGTTCCTAACTTTCTAAAAAAAATAATTCATAACCAGAAGTCTTCTTGAGAAACCTTATAATTCCTTACACCATCTCTAAGTGCTATTTGTTTGGGATATTCATGTTTTTTCGCACAATACTAACAGAATATGTAATATATAGTCTCGAATGTAACTGATAGATGAGTTTTCCTATCAATCTTTGATATCTTCTCTTACTTACAGATATGTTTATTCTCTTCTCTTTAACCTCTAGTTGGATTCATTGGAGTATCAGGAGACTTACTTCCATTCATCTCTGTCTTCTTTAGTAGATCTTGGATGTATTTCCTCTATGATATAGTGCTTTCTTTCTTGAACCTTGTTACCTCTATAACTAAAAAATATCTCATGGTTTTTAGGTCCTTGATTTCAAACTCAGTAGCGAACACATTTTTGATCTTGAAATCTCTCTTTTAGTATCACTAGTAAAAATCTTATCATTCGTGAATACTATTGGTGTAACAATCTTATCTCTTTGAGTGTGTTTTACAAATCGATTATGCTTGACTTTGAAAATACTCGCTAATCTCATAGTTTTAGCAAACATTTCAAACCATGTTCTTGGTGATTGTTTAAGCCTAGACTTCCTGAGTTTGCATTAGGCGTTTGTTGGAATCTTTCTCAAGTCCTTGTGGTATCTCCATATATACTTCTTCTTCTAGATCCTCATTCAGGATAACATTTTTATGTCTAGTTTGATGTAGTCCCATTTGTTAACTGCTATTGAAAGAACTCTGATAGTGTTATGATTATGCTTGACTTTGAAAATATTTGATATAGTCCTATTTGTTAACTGCTATTGAAAGAACTCTGATAGTGTTACGATTATGCTTGACTTTGAAAATACTCGTTAATCTCATAGTTTTAGCAAACATTTCAAACCATGTTCTTGGTGATTGCTTGAGCCTAGACTTCCTGAGTTTGCATTAGACGTTTGTTGGAAACTTTCTCAAGTCCTTGTGGTATCTCCATATATACTTCTTCTTCTAGATCCTCATTCAGGATAACCTTTTTATGTCTAGTTTGATATAGTCCCATTTGTTAACTACTATTGAAAGAACTCTGATAGTGTTACGATTATGCTTGACTTTGAAAATACTCGTTAATCTCATAGTTTTAGCAAACATTTCAAACCATGTTCTTGGTGATTGCTTAAGCCTAGACTTTCTGAGTTTGCACTAGGCGTTTGTTGGAATCTTTCTCAAGTCCTTGTGGTATCTCCATATATACTTCTTCTTCTAGATCCTCATACAGGATAACCTTTTTATGTCTAGCTTGATGTAGTCCCATTTGTTAATTGCTATTGAAAGAACTCTGATAGTGTTACGTTTGGCAACTGGTTTGAAGATCCTCTGATAATCCATAGGCTTAGGTAAAGTCTTTTGCCAAAAGTTTGTATTTGAATCTCTTTGTACCCCCATCAGCTTTGTATTTGATGTTGAACACCAAAGCACCCAACTGACTTCTTATCTTGAGGGAGTTTAGTAAAAATCTATGTACCATTATGTTTTAGTGGTCGAATCTCCTCTTCAATTGCTTTCTTTCATTCTAGATTTTCAAGAGCTTCATGAATAAAATTATGAATTTACATAGTATCAATATTAAAAACAAAAACTTTGTAGGATGGGGATATCTTCACATAAGCTACACTCTCCTAAATTGCATATCTAATGCAACTTTCCTTGTTACCAACATCAAAAGAGAAATAAGATAACTCGTGTATTAGAATCCTCCTTACCTGAAATTTCAGGTAAATACAGACTCGAGTTTTAATTTGAGTTGTTATGTTATGTAGTTTTTTTTGGTAACAAGAGAGCAACATGTACTTGATAGATTTAGGGTCAAGTTTTGTGAGATTTTGGGAATGGTCTTCCACCTGCTCAAAGGTGATATCCATGTTCATAAAAATTTTGTTTGAATTGGGATCAACTCATTTATGTCCATTCAACTTGCATTTTTTGGCTTAAGTTTCAAGTTTTTCTTGATTATGAATGTGAAAAAAGGTAATGCACCAAAATATCTTTAGAAGTTAAAGAGATGAGAAACGATTCTTTGATTTTTTTTTTTTTTTGGAAAACATCAAAAGGTATTTCGAAGTTTAAAACTTTATTGGGTATTCTATATATAAGAAATTTAACAGTAAGAGTTTTACTCTAAAGATATTTAAACACCTTATTTATAAATAACAAAGCCTTTCGACACATTCGTTGCTCCCCAGGCCTCAACCCAAAAAAAAATATATATTTTGACATACATTATTTTCAATCTGTTTCAAACCAAAAATTAAAAAAAAATGAAAACAGTCTTGATGTAGTCCCATTTGTTAATTGCTATTGAAAGAACTCTGATAGTGTTACGTTTGGCAACTGGTTTGAAGATCCTCTGATAATCCATAGGCTTAGGTAAAGTCTTTTGCCAAAAGTTTGTATTTGAATCTCTTTGTACCCCCATCAGCTTTGTATTTGATGTTGAACACCAAAGCACCCAACTGACTTCTTATCTTGAGGGAGTTTAGTAAAAATCTATGTACCATTATGTTTTAGTGGTCGAATCTCCTCTTCAATTGCTTTCTTTCATTCTAGATTTTCAAGAGCTTCATGAATAAAATTATGAATTTACATAGTATCAATATTAAAAACAAAAACTTTGTAGGATGGGGATATCTTCACATAAGCTACACTCTCCTAAATTGCATATCTAATGCAACTTTCCTTGTTACCAACATCAAAAGAGAAATAAGATAACTCGTGTATTAGAATCCTCCTTACCTGAAATTTCAGGTAAATACAGACTCGAGTTTTAATTTGAGTTGTTATGTTATGTAGTTTTTTTTGGTAACAAGAGAGCAACATGTACTTGATAGATTTAGGGTCAAGTTTTGTGAGATTTTGGGAATGGTCTTCCACCTGCTCAAAGGTGATATCCATGTTCATAAAAATTTTGTTTGAATTGGGATCAACTCATTTATGTCCATTCAACTTGCATTTTTTGGCTTAAGTTTCAAGTTTTTCTTGATTATGAATGTGAAAAAAGGTAATGCACCAAAATATCTTTAGAAGTTAAAGAGATGAGAAACGATTCTTTGATTTTTTTTTTTTTTTGGAAAACATCAAAAGGTATTTCGAAGTTTAAAACTTTATTGGGTATTCTATATATAAGAAATTTAACAGTAAGAGTTTTACTCTAAAGATATTTAAACACCTTATTTATAAATAACAAAGCCTTTCGACACATTCGTTGCTCCCCAGGCCTCAACCCAAAAAAAATATATATTTTGATATACATTATTTTCAATCTGTTTCAAACCAAAAATTAAAAAAAAATGAAAACAGTGAACCAAAATCTATAAAGTTTTTCAAATAAGTCCAACTTAACCGAGTGTGATCATTAGTGAAAGTCACAAATATTCTTTTTTTAAGAATTACTATGATGTTTACAAAGACTCCATAGATCGCTAAAAATCAGCGTAAATAGTGTAGTTAGGTTGTGTATTTGTAAAAAAAATAATGAGTGATGTTTGATAAATTGACAAAATTCACATTAAAACGAAGACAAATTTTTAATTTGAAATAATTTGGGAAACAATTATTTTACATAAAGAAAACCAAAATGACCTAATTTATAATGTCATAAATTAATTTCATTATCTTTAGAAACATAAGCATATGTTAAATCAGTATTTTGACATTGTCTATTCAAGTCAAGTATATCGTCAAAGTTGTGAAGTCCATCTTTTTTTTTAGTATTATCAATTATCCTCCCCGTGGTCAATTTCTGAAATTCACAAAAAAATAAATAAATAAATAGAAGTTAGCTTGACATTAATGATCAATAATAATTTTACTAATGGATAACAGGTTACCTAATTGATGAAAAACATGTAGAACAGAGCGAAGAGATTAACAATGAGGAGAGTTTGATAGTTCCTATTCCGACAATTATCGAAGAACCATCATTATTTTTTACTTTTTTATTGTCTGCACAAAGTCTATAAGAAGAAAATAATTTAGAATTGCGCCAAAACTAATTATCCAATAATTAGAAAAATTAGGTATAATATCTAACGAAGCAGTGGCTAAAGAGTTACCATTTTCTATTAAAAAGGAAGGCAGAGTTCGGGAAAATTTTGGTGATTAAAACAATTTGTGCAATTGCTCTAATTGCTCCTTGGTGAAGGGACTACATTTGAGTTAGTAGGAGGCTCCTGATTTTCTTCAACTGTGACTTGATAAGCTCAATTTTCACGCTTAGATTTTGATTTTCAATTTTCTATGTAGTGAAATTTCCAGCATGTTTTCTTCATGTGTCTTGGTTTTTTGCAATGCTCGCACCGTAATTTCTAACGCCCTTCTTTATCAATTTTTACCACTTTCGACATAAGAGCTTAGTTTTGTTTTTCGAGGTTATAAGAAGATTCAGTGTTTGCATAACATAATTTTTCTTATTGAGTCTTCCGTCTGACTTTAGAAAAAACTTTTTGAATAGACGGCAGTGGTTTCCTATCACGGATGCAACCTTAGACTTCGTTTAAACTCTGATTATGGCCGACAAGGAACATATAGACTTGATCCTTTCCTTCTCTCTTTCTATGGCAAGCATAATCATTTGAATTTTCCCACATGTCATCATAATATATACTAACATCACGGTTGTTTTTTTTTTTAATTTTCGAAGTTGAGTTTTCAATTAAAAAATTTGGGAAGAATTCTAAACATAAATAGAAATCTCGAAGTCTTCCAGATAAATCAAGAAATGGGAAGGAATAGATGTGGGCTTCATATGATAGGTTCTATGGAGTTGATGTGTTTAGTCTTAATGAAAGAATTTTCGGACTATCATTTTTTTTAGATTAGGATCCTCAGCAATAGGATTGAATTTTATCTGTTAAACACCTAATTTTTTTCTTCTGTCGATTGCCAATTTTATGGATTTAGCCCATTTCAGGTAGTTCTGCTTGTTGTGAGTTCTGTGAATAATACCCGGTCGATACAATCACGCAAGAAGCTGTAGGGTGAGGTGATATAGTTTTGCAGTTACTAGAGCTGTAGCATTTCTCTAGAATTGGGACATCATTGTTGAATTTTACGACATCCTCAGAATCTAAGACGAGTAACAGACATGCAGTGGAGAGAAGGAAGCGGAATACTAGGATAGCATGGGCAGCAGGTGAAGTGGTGAATGGAGTGACGAGGCGCGTTAGGATAGACTGAAACAGCTAGGGGACAACAGAAAACAACAGGTTTACTGTTTTTTGGATGACAATGATGAAGAGGCAAAGAGGGGAAGCTGCATGGCAGCAAGGGGCTGTTGTCTGGGACGGGAGCATCGAGCAAGAATGGCTGAAATGTGAAGACTTCAGTGAAAAAGCAACAAAAACTGCAGTCCTCGTGGTGGCTACAGCAGGGAAGGACGATGTGGAGCTGCAAGGTGTGTTGGGGGAAAGGATAAATCACCACCTGAAAACCAAGATACAACCGAAGTATCATTTAGAACCCTAGGATACAACCCTCGAAGGAAAGAAGAGACGCGACGGCTGTCCCGATACAAAACCCACCAAAAACTAACCTTAAGATAACAAACAATATATTTATAATAAGTACTAGTAGTTAAGATTAGGAAGGAATTAGAATAAGAAGAGAATATAGAAGGCAATAGATCAAATAAGAAATTGGTTCGCGGTCCCACGTCACCCAACTCAGTTAATCTCGGTTTTCCAAGAGATTTATGTTCCAATTATCCTCAATGGAGGCCAACTCCCAATGCTTAATAAGCCCACTAATTGAGATTGATCGTAATAATTATTAGTCATGCCATTCGTGTCTTGTTGCCCATGCATGGTATCTCTAAACCATAAATAGCCATGTTTTGTGCCCACCGAACTATTCAGTGAAAAGTGCTATGACTTAATCCTTTACTTTCAAATGAGTTGATGACAATCTTGAAAGTATGTCTTTGGCACATCTTCATTTTCACCTTGGTTTGTTTTTGATACTTGAGATGAGGTAACTTGCTCCCTTTAATTGGATTCTTTAAACTTTATGACACAACCTTGTGCCACTAGTAAACTTGATCCAATGGTATACCTAAGATGATGAGACTATGAGATCTCGGTCGGTTATGCCTCTACTTAAGCAACTTCTATAATCAAGAGTCCATCCTATGAGTGAGAGGGATAATTAACTTGATTGAAAAAATTAAATTGACTGAACATCATGTTCTTTTGTATCTTCTGAATTGGCCCCAATTGCCCTATCATTATGTCTATCAAATATGAGAAAAAGTTTTATTCTTTATGTAAAATTCTGCAAATGATGAAAATTTGTCATAAAAACTTTAAACATATTCTTAGGAGCATTAGAAGAAACGCTGTAATCATATAGGGCTGAATATTGAAATTCGTTTACCTTCTGTTGTGTTCTCGAATTCGCACCGGCAACTTTTGCGTACAGAAGTTTTCATTGGTCACCTTTGGGAATGATCATGTACTTTTAATAATCCCTTCCTTCTTTTCTAATACGTTTGCTTAAGATGGGATCATCTTGAATGCTACAACAATTTGCAAACTTTTCTGTGTCAGCCAGCTCTATCTGAATGCATGTTTCTTTCTTTTTTTTTTTTTTCTAATTGTTAGAGTTATTCTAAAATTTGGTATTAGGACAAACAAAAACTTGAAGATGAACTACAGAAGCACAAGAGTGCCATTTCTGCTGTTTTGGAGGTACGTTGTTCCTTACTCCCCACATGATATTTGTTATTATATATATATATATATATATCCATGTTTGTATTTACTGGTGACATGAGGATTGATCACCTTCTTTAATAATACTTCATCTCTAATAAAGTGATTATCTACTTTAATATGTTTTATTTTATTCTAAAAAAAAGGTTGCTGGTAATGTGGATTGTTGTTTGATTCTTAAACTCAACTACTTTGGATTAAACAACATTAATTTCCCTTTTTGTTAAAATTTTTTTATCCACAACAATCATTAATTTCCCTTTTTGTTAAAATTTTTTTATCCACAACAATTCATAGATATAATATAAGGTAGCTTTGTATTCAGCTTCAACGCTAAATCTAGCAATAGTAGCTCTTTTATTTTCTTTTTCTTCTTCATAAAATAACATTTTTTATAAATATTAAAAGGGCTTTTTACATACATAGCACCCAAAATATTGTTATCTACGAATCTAACACTCTTTCATCCATTTTTAAAATTCTCACTCAAATATAAAAATTCATTGTAAATCCCTCACTAATTTTTATTTTTTTATTTTTTGTGAAATTCTCAAAGGTTTAATCGCGACATGCATAAATACATCGATTCGATAGTATTATGAAAATATCAATTTTTTTTAGTGTTATGTATGCATTTTTCTAAAATATATATAAAAAAACTTTTTAAGTTAACTTTCCTTGTTATCTACATATTTAGTAATGAATCCATGGGAGAGCCAATGGTCATGCACGTGAAAAATCCAATTTGCTCGAGCAGGTCAATGGTATAATTCTTTTAGCAACAAAAAAAAAAAAAAACGCTACATTTGTTGTAAGCAAACTCAATGTTGTAGAGTGAATTTTATGTCCCGCATTTTTTGTAATACACCCCCCCGCCCCATCATTTGTTGATGATCTTGGGGTGGTGGTGGTGGTGATCGACGAGTGGTCAGAAGGTGGATAATTTGGTCGGCCAATTGAAAATGGCAAGGTAGCGGTTTCCGAGGTTACAGACAAGAAGCAGGCAACAGATAATGACGTGGCACAACTGTTTTGAATAAGGGCATCAAATGAGGAGTCAGGGCGCAAATTTTGGAGGAGACGACAACATGAAAATTTAAGGAATAGTGGTCAAGGATGTTATGAAAGGCAGGGACAGCGGTAAGGTTGCGGAGGGGTGATCTTGGTGGCTAGAATAGCAGAAAAAACCAGGAATGGCCATTGGGTGAGGGGGGCGAGTTGGAATGACTACGAAAAGGGTGAGGAATGCGTGGAATTGCGGGATAGCAAAGAGAGGATTGTCCTGGGGCTGCGACAGCTGTGTGGTTTGTTGGACAACAACGTGGGAGGTCATTGGAAGAGACGACAGCAGGTGGAGGTTGTGGCTGGCGGCTGGAGTTGCAGGAAGCTAGCCGAAATGCTATTTAGTCGTCCCGACAGCGAGGAAAAGTGGCAACAATAGTGAGGGAAGGTATTCGGAAGGATGGAAAAATAGAAGATAAATAGCCCGTGAGAATAAGCAAGCTACAACCCGAGCACTACTAGATCCCCTAATAGGAGATCACCAACTCGGACTAGCTACAACCAGAGCACCAACCAAGTTTGACTTTATGTGGTCATTTGTTGTTATTTCCTTTTTCAGCGTATCGTTGTGTCGGATTTGTTGTAATTACCTTTTCAAGTGTGTTTGATTGTAACCACTCACTTTTGTTAGTAATTTTATTTATTTCTATTATGGTTTGGGTTAACTGCGATATCATTTAGTATCAAAACTAGCCTAACTCTAATTCTATCATATGATTTCTAGCATTGGCCCATACACAACCCTATTTCTACTCAAATATTCTTCTTTCCCACCTTGTATCAACCCTATCGACACACTGAAAATCAAATCACACTGCTAAGGAGGCGATTGACAGAATTTTATCGGAATTTCATCATGGAAGAAATATAGCAGCAATTCACCGGATGGAATGGTGAAACTAACCACCAACAAGTTAAAGAAGAGTGTTTTATTTTGGTGGCAAAATTTAAAGACCTGCGGTAACATGAGTGAAAATATAAGATCAATACTTGGTTCCAGGTAAAACTAGAGATGCAGCGCAAGCACTTACCAGTTCATTGCGGGCAGAATGTGTAGATACTAGCTTCAAAAGTGAAGAGACAACATTATCAGCTGAACACTACATCACACTGGGACACTAGCTAGTCCCCCTAAACTTTATCATCTTCTCTTCTTGTGCTCCACACTCTCGGGTTAAGTGAAGGTTAATGTGGATGGTACTCTTTTGCCCAACTCCTGTGCTAGTATTGGAGTATTTTCAGGAATTAAGTTGGGGAGGTCATTGGTAATTTGGGGCGTCAACTGCAACATTGGGATTATGGATTTGTGAAACTGCAAGTTGTCCTTGTTAGCTCTGGATGTAGGAGGCCAAGGGGATTATTGTGGAAGGTGACAACACTAACATTATCAATTATATGACTGTGATGAAGCAGAACTCATGGAGCGATGATCCTGAACAATGCCAATTATTTGCTTTTCTTACTCTTTTTAGACAAGTTGCTTTTCATTGTATTCCTCGGAAGCTCAATCGAGCTGCTCACTTTTGTGCCCAAAGGACTTATAGTTTTTCTTTTGACATAGGTTATCAAATCTTCAGAGCTTTTTGTCATTCTCCAAGATGATAAGGCTGCTTTTGCACAAGTCTGAGGACTTATTTTTTTGTACTTTTTTGTACTTTTTTGTACTCCTTTTTATGTTTAAGTTTTTTTGTACTTTTTTGTACTCCTTTTTATGTTTAATGCAACAGACACACTTCATGGATGACCACCATATCTTACAGGTAGAGTTCAACTCAAGGATCTTACAATAGTAGTACATGCAATGGAACATTCAAGTCGACCCCGCCTGAGGAAGCATTCAGTCTGAGTGGAGAACATGTGAAACTAGTTAGCATTCCGAAATCCTTCCTAGCCAAGTTATGTCTCAAGTGCCATGGATTTGGGCATATCGTATCAAATTGCATAATCAGGAGAATTATTTCATAGAGAATTCTCAAAGTTCAGCCGTCGAGGAAGAGAAGCCAACGATTCTAGGTGAACCCATGAGAAACTCTAGTTGAGTTGATAGTAGCAGTTCTAGAAGGTAGTGACTCCTAGGTAATGGTCACTCGTGCAGAGTATGAGATTGTGGTGTCTTGAGTTATTGTTTCGAGGGCGTTGAGAGGAGCATCAGTAGGATTTTAATTGAATGTTCAAAAGTGTCATGAGTTTGAGGAGTGTATATCATATGGCAACCCCATTTTAGAGAAATTTGTGTTATTTAGATATATAGGCTATTTTCTGAGTTGCCCCTGCTGAGGTAGGGAAAATATGTCAGAGATGATACTCTTTTGCATTACTTTTGTAAGATTTTTTGTACTTCTTTGTGTATTAAAATCATTGCTACCTTGTACCCACCAACAGATGATCAGGCAGGATGGATGTCCCACAATGTTGGAATGTGCCTTAGGAACTTTGCAGGAATGAGCATCCTATAGTGGGATCCAGTTCTTTTTAGAGAATAAGAAGAGACGTCTCCTGAGCGGTTACATTTCAGTGTGGTTCACTCTGCCATTGAAGTTGATCCATAGTTGATGCCTCCAGACATGCTTGTTTATCAAATACATCCAACCGAGTACGAGGAGTGGGAGAAGTATATTATAGATTTATTTGCTCGAGATTTGGCTCTGGTAATCTACGCCGATATGCTACCCTAACTCAAGTTATGCTAAAATGTAACACTCAATTTTTAGAAATCAAGTGAAAATTTTGACAATTTTAAATATACCACAAATTTTACATCTCTCGAAATTCAAATGAATCAACTTTTGAATTTTTAAAAGTTGAATTGATCAATTTGATTTAGTGCACTGTATATGAATTATGAATACAATGGGAGATATAAAAATAAATAAAATATTTATTTAATTAAATTAATTAAACCCTTAATTAATATTTAATCCCATATTACAGCAACCAACCAAACTCCATCGCATTTATGTGTGCATGCTGATGTAGTCGAATGGCTAAGAATTTTGTGGGATCACATTAATTGTTGTACTCCCTTCATTTTCCCCATCTCTCAGTTTTACTTGTTTGAAGAGTCCTGCGACCCGTAACTATAGTAGGACAGGTGAGCGACTAGGGCAAGGAGCCACAACTCGTGGTTAGGAGCTTCAAGAGGAAGACGATGAGTATGAACCTATCATTTTTGAGATTTTTGGCATTGCTTTCCTTTCCTACATTTTCGTTTTGATATTTGCTATGAATTAAAGCATTCCATGTGTTCCTTATTGCTGTAGCTTTGCAGTAACAAACACAGGATTGTTGAACCGAGAGTTATACTCCCCGATAAGTCCATCTCATGGGTTGGGGGGAAAGGAAGAAGAGGGAATAGAATAGAAAAATATCGGGTAGGCATATTTATGTCGAGAAGTCCTTTCGAGTTAAGTTAAATCAATAAAGTTATATTTCGGGTTAAATTAAGATCTCAATTACAAATTTTATGAATTTCTAAGGGATTGTGACCTTTAGGTTGTTTAGGGATACTCGTCGTAGGTTTGCTTTATCGATTCAGGTTAAATATCATGTGTTAACTTTAAAAAAATAACTCTTTATAGGTTTTCATATAATTATTTTTGACACTTTGTATTTAGGAAGACAGAGGTAGACCTTGGAAGACTTGAGCTTATTGTATAAAAAATGATCTTAATTTATTAGAACTAAATACAAATTTGGCACTAAATAAGACGCAATGGAGAAAAGGATTCATGCAGTCGAACCCTTGTAGTGGGATTAAGGCTTTGTTGTTGTTGTTGTTGTATTTAGAGTTTTGTCTATATTGTGGATTAATGGTTGCATGGACTACATGAATACAAACTTGATTTGTACCTTAGGATACTTACGGTTTTTCTATACTATAAATCAGATGAATATGTTTATAAAATAATAGTTTT